GATGGATCACTGTCTACAGGTTTACTTATCGAGTCCTTTGCTGCCCTTCAGCAGGCTTCCAGAAAATGACCAATTAGAAGAGAGCAGACTTCAAGGGGGCAGGACGTTCAGACAGCTAGCCTCAGACAGACCCGTCTGATAGGTCCCCGTCCAGCAAACCTGCTAACACTCGTGTCTTCCTGCGTTTCTCTCCAAGTAACGATCGACTGACGGGCTCTCGTTTCCCCCCAGGACACTCCCATAACGTGTGACACTCAAACTTCATTATGAGAACACTCACATCTGTAAGGTGACCTGTAGGGGGAGGGGCTTCTTAAATAGCTGTTTGTCCAAAGTTGCTGATCATGCCGATGGCGGCCATGTCTTTGGGTGGGTCACGTAGACGTCCTCCTGACACTATTAGAAGACGTGGTGGAGGACATGAGGACAGATGGTCAGCAGGAGGAAGTAAAACCAAAATAAGACACAGAGATACCAAAGTGAAGAACATTCAGGGGAAATCTACCAGACAGAGACAATAATCTCAGCAAAGCTGAACGTTATTGATCCGTGAGAACGCAGTGAAACGGTGACGTCTGTACAGTGATGTCACCGTTATATTTGGGGATCCAGACACAGAAAGACGTCACTCTTTAATGAAAACACTGAACATTTGAGTTCTTGTAGGATGAAACTCGAGCATCTCTTTGCTTTGTGTGGTTTGCTGCTGTGTCATGTTCATGCACGTCTCAGTGAAGTCAGCAGAGTCCAGGCAGGAAGCGTGTTCATCCTAATGGCTGTTACTCTGTAATGATGGTGTTTTTTTATTTTTCATGTGCTGTTACTGACTGCTGCTCCGATCCAAGTCTTCCACTGTTCTGTCACTGGGCCCAGAAACGGCTCACTGGGACCAGTCTGCCCAGTTTAACCAGTCTGACACCCAGTTTGGGCCTTTGGCTAAACCTGTGTGTCAGATTAGTGTTTTTGGTTTCTCTGTTTTGAACTGAACGTGTTTCTGAGAGTCCAAACGAGAGCTGGGTGTGAAATTCAAACAGATTCTCAGCTTCTGTTTTTCTTTTTATCAACAAACCTGCAACACAACAGTAACTGTAACTCTAACTGTAACTGACTTTGTACCTTTAAGGCTTCGCTGCCACTGGTCAGCTGTGGTTTCTCTGCTTCAGGCTTCCCAGTACATCTGAAAATGTTGACACTGAAAGAAGAAGCTGAAATGTGAGCAGAGGTTAAGGTTATACTGGTTATACTGGACCAGTGTCGGTCAAGCTACTTGAAAAAAGTAATGGGATTACAGTAACATGTTACATCTCTGCAGTGTTGCTTTGATATTTGCATAAAAATACGTTTCTCTCAGTTAAGTTTTTCATTTTGGTGGGCGCTGAGTTTGGTAACAATAACCCCGCCCCCACCTATGACATCACGGGTTCTCGATTGTTCCAGCTGTGACCCGTGTTTACGCCCTCGTGCGGTTTGTTGGCGGTAAAAAGAACAGAGCGAGAACGTCTCGCCACTGATGCCCAGCTCTCACCTGAACTGTCACTGTGGTGGGTCAAAGGTCAAACTTATATCTTCATACGATGTTAGAGGTCAGACACCATGTGATCATCAGCCATGTGCCGCCGCCCTCCCCCGTTCTGTTTTCTGTTCCCCGCCCTCCCCAGGAGAGATGGCATTATATCAGCAGAGTGTTGGTATAATGATCGCACGTGTTCGCGGCTTCATCCGGGCCTCATACGCCATCTTTGTTCCCCCTGCCTCACCCCCTCCCCTGCCCCGTACCCCTCCCCCACGATGTTTCCTTTGCTTTGAGGTTGATTTCCTGTCGTGTTCCTGTGTTTGAGCCTCACGTCGGTGTCTCCCTGCTGCTGTGTGTTTGTGTGGGCAGTAAAACAGGACGGCGCTCCTCCGTTTTACTGAAACATCACTTCATCTGAAGCTGTAGGGATTCAGGCTCTGTGCAGCGCTCGGAGGCAGTTGTTGTAGAAATCAAAGTGAACTGAACGAGAGAACAGCCCCACTGACACATCACAGGGATACGCCGTCAGCCACAGCATTAGAAGCACCCAATCACCTCCGTCCTCTGAGCCAGACGCTGCACGCAGGCGTGAAGTAATTAACCAATAACACGCACACAAATACTCAGAGGTGGGCGGGGTGTTTAACCATAAAACTCAGGAAGTCTCGGGGGGGGCTCGGGTGACCGGCGTACCTCAGGAAACCGACCCAACACGCTCAGGGAGAGCGATAAAGAGCTGCAGACACAGTCAGACCAATCACAACTTGAACATGGAAATGGTCGTGGGTATATCACAGCTGGTTGTTCTAATAATTGACGCCAAAATAAAAGGTGGAGGTGACTCTGGGTGGATGTGGATCAGATCTCCTCGTCATGTTCCTCGTTGGTTTCCAGTGTGTCCTGACGATGGGAAATGAAACTCTTCATCAGACTGGACGCTCTTCTTCTGGCGCTCCACGTTCTGCTCTGACTCTTCTGACCACCAGGTCGTTCAATGGCAGCTGGACTTCTTTTTACCCTTCATCCAACAGATGAGGTGGTGACTCACAGCTCTGATGGTCAGCCACCTATAACAACGTCAGAAGATGCTTTTCCAGTCAGTGGAAGCCTTACTGGAACCTCGAGGTGGTTCACTTGATGACAACGACCACCTCAGGTGATCACCAGGTAAATAGGAACAGCTGATAGAGTTGAAGCGTCTGGGATGACTAAAACAACGAGATTGTGTTACAGGTCACCAAGCACCTTTCTGTTTCTGAAGTCTCCAGCACACCTGTGGGGACAAACCAGTGAGGTCCTATCAAAGGTAGAGAGCAGCCGAGTGTCTCCTCCTCAGGAAATGACGTTTCAAACATGTAGGCAGGCAGTGACCCGTCACACAGCTCAGTGTACGAGTGTTCGATGTTGGAAAGAAGCGCTGCGATGCTTTGCTCTGTCTCTTCTTTGCTTTGTGCTGCAGGAGCTCTTCTGTGGGGTCAGGTCTCAGTGGGCCTCAGGCACCCACGACCTGTCCCTGACTCGACCACAGTTCCTCCTTTAGATCTCCTTCACTGGTTACGCAGAAATCATCTTTCAGGGTCCAGAGAGGAAAATCACAGAAGTAAACCGAGCTGAGCAGAAGGACGACGGCCGTGCTCCTGAAAACCTCACGGGCAGTAATGAGACCAACACCCTGAACAGCAGGAGGCGCTCTCGCTCCGTGACTTGAGCCACAGTCATGACGATGATGAAGGTTCAGACACAAAGGTTCACTTTAACAACCTTCACCTGCTTCCTGTTAAATCCACCAGCTGACCTTCGATTAGACGACACGCCGCTAAACAAGAAACAGCAACAAGACACATAAATACTGAAGGAACGATAGCCCCGCCTCCGCCTGCAGCTGCTCTCCTCATCACGCCACTTTAGCTTCAAACTTTCCATCGACTCGACTTCCTGCTTCCTGCTAAATTATTACTCAGGCGAACTGTTAGTGGTTCTAATGTTGTGGCTGATCAGTGTGGGAAGCAGTACAAATGGATTAACTTGTTATGTGAAGCCAAAGCAAGCAGCTGAAAAGGAACTGCACTCAAAATAGATTTTGGTTGAAACAAGATATTATTTTACCTGTATTTATAAAAAAAAAAAAAGTACATCCATAACAGATTCTATTTTTTAGATTTAGGGACCACTGTTCTTTATTAAAGTGATTTCTGTCAGTTTACAAAATAAGCCTTTATATT